AGATTTTGAGGGAAGCAGATTACTCTCCATGATAAGGGTGGGCTTTACCCTATCAGTTGAAGGCTTAACTGTATAGAAGAGTCTACCAGTTCCAGAGTCCAGACTCTCCAGGCTCCACAGTGTTATAAGCCAATTCCTTCAAGTATCTATCTTCTATTGGTTCTCTTTCTCTGGAGATCCCTGATAAATACAGTCTTTATGAGGCAGGGAGTATTATCTCAATGACATAGATGAGTAAGTGGGACAGACTATTTGTCACCTGCAACACCACCTCTATATTTCTCAGCCTCCTGTGTATTGAGGTTGGTCATATGACCAGTTCTGGCCAATGGTATGTCAGAACTCCACACTCCTTGTGCCTTGATGGGAATGGAGAAGACCCAGTGGAGGTCTCTGGTAAGGAATCACTAGCTGACAGGAGGCTGGGTCCTCCAGACCATCCTGTGGAAGGCACCCATGGGACTGGACAGTGATATAAGCAAGATAGGAACCTGAGAGGGGTTTGGTCACTGAGATGTGCTAAAGCAGGTGACCTAGTATCCCTAACACGCTGTCGGGTTTGCCAGCCCAGCAGGGGCAGAGTCAGGGTTGACCCCAGGCAGCATGGTTTGCTCACCCTACCCTTCCCTGCCCATCAGTGTGGCGTCATTGTGAGGAGTGAGTGAGAGAGCACACAGTAGGTGTGGCACTTGAGAGTCCCCCGCAACATGATAGTGATTACTAGAGCTAGGTTTTAATTTTGTCAGGCATTTGACACTGCCTCTTGTGCTGCTAAGGACAAAATGGCACAGTGTGGCCATGGGGGCCTCCTCAATGGTTGGACAACTGTCCCCAGGATGTGTTGATTAACGAACCAATGTTAACCAGGAAGTCCCCAGAACTGGGTCACTGGAGGCCTGTCTATTTCCCTAAAGAACCATCCAGCGTGTCTGTCTTTGACATTTTATCTGCAGATGCATGAAGACATAGGAGGCATGCTTAACAAATTGATGAAGCAAAACTAGATGAGAGAGCTAATATGTTGGATGACAGAGTGAAGATTCAAGAAAGGTCTGGGCAGGCCAGAACAATGGACTGAAACTAACAAGATTAAAGGCAGGAGGGATAAATCAAAGTCCTGCTTCTCATTGAAAAACCAGGATGAAGGAGGCTCGTGTGTGAAAACCCTAGGGTTCTCATTGTGTGTTAGCCTGATAGAAACCCCAAGAATGACATAGGGTCTCTTCAAATGAAGGATATCTCATGCTGCATTAAATAGAAGACCTTGGTCATTCACTCAAGTCCATATTGGGTGCTTTCTGTGTGCTGGGCATGGTGTTGAGTTCTGGGTCTACATCGGTGACTGACACAGAACCCCTACTCTCGTGCAGGTGACACTTAGGAACACAATTAACCTGAGCTCTGTGCTTATTGGTGTTGGCACTGTCTTCCTTCACTTTCTATATGCAAATGATGAGGAAGGGTCTAGAAACCAAGTGACATGAAGAACTAGGAATGATGAGATTTAGGGGCATTTCAGAAATAGCAAACATTGTCTCCCTGAATGAAAGCAACGTCTTTCAGAGGAACGGAGAAAGCCAATGGCTGAAAGAGAATCTTGAGGTTTGTTGAGCTCTGGGCGCGCATTGTACACTCATTCTTTCATTGAATCCTCCCAACAGCTCTGTAGGGTGGACAGAATGTCCCTATTTCACAGCTGGGGGAACAAAGGCTCGCAGAGGTTACTGTTACTGTACCTGGGACATTCTTATAGAGCTGGCAGGTGGCTAAGAGGATCTGAATCTCATTGTCTGGTTCAAAGCCCACATTCTTTCCCATCCACCTACCCCTAGGAAGATTTCATCTTCATTTAAGGAAGGGTCTCCACCAACTGCAGCTGTAGGTAACTAACTGGACAGTTGCTTTCTTAACGGGGAGTGTTTAGGCAGAATCTGGAGAACGGTGTCCTTGGATGTGTCCCCTGCCCCGTGTCTGGAAGTGGGGGCGCACAGGAAGGGAAGGCTTGCCTTGTCTCTGGCCTCACCTGCAGGGCTAGCTTCTGCCTATATTTCTGGTCTTAGCCAAAGCACCATTTTCTGCTGCTCATACTGGTGAGGGGCACCCACTAACGCCTCTGTGGCTTCCTGCCCTAACCCTGGGGCACTGAGCCCCCTGCCCTGGCTGCTTCTTCGTCAGCCTTCTGTGACAAACTGGACATTCCATGAGTTAAGGCCCCGGGGCTGCCTAGTATACTGCACTATCCTCTGTGCCCAGCACACAGTAGGTGCTCTATAAAAGCTTGGGGAACTCATGACATCTTCCAAAATCCTCTATTTGATGCCAAGGGACTAGCCAACCCCCATGGGCCTTTGCACCTTGCTTGCACTAATTTGGGCCTGGGCAGGGGCAGAGAGGGTTCAGGGTGGCCTGTGCTGGGGGGAGGAGACAGAAAGCAGCAGTGGCTGCTGGCCCCAGCCCGGCAGTCTTCTCCACTGTGCTGTGATTCAGGGAGGTGGTGGCCACAGAGCAGAACTGGCAGAGGAGGGGAGTGAGGTGCCCGGCGACCTCAGCTGTCATTCGGTCTCTGTGCACATTCTGAGGCATTTGCTGCCTCTTCCCTGGCGTGTCCCTGGAGCCCTGGCCTTTGTGGACATGCAGGGTGAAGCTCACGAATCTGCTCCTCCGCGTGACCCTGTGTGACTTCCTGACCGGCAAGGCCATGGGAAGAGAAAGGGGTTAACCATGAACCCAGTGTGTGGGGGGTGGAAGGTGATGTCAGCCAGGCTGCCCAGCAGAGACAAAAGCCTCTAATTGCTCTTTTCCTTCTTGTCAGAAGGCTGACTCCAGAGTTACTGTAATAAGGGCTCATGGATAGGGAGGAGGCTGACTAATGAGAGAGTCATTGTTCAGTGATGAGGGGAAGTGGGACCTGGAAGACAGCCGGGGCCCAGCAGCCCTGCTCCCCAAGGGAAGACAGAAATTCCATTGGCTCACCTGGCCGGGCTGTGGGAGCCACATGGCTTGGGGTCAAATTGCATTGGAAATGCCTTTCTGTGGGAGCTGCTGGCCCCCTCTGTGAGGTGATGAACTTGGAGGCCCTCAAGGAGAGCACGCTCTGTGGGAAAGAAACTGGGATTTGGTGGTTGTGTTACTTGGTTAATAAGCTGAGATGACTTCCTTCAGGTGACAGATTTTGGGAAGCATTCAGTTTGCAAAGAATTGGCCAAGATACTGGGTCACTAGCTTCTCTTATAAGCGCTTCATGATTGCACTCGATTGAGCAATTCTTCTAGAAACTGCCTTAGAATCAGAGACTCCAGGAGCTGGAGGGAGGTCTGTCCCTGCATCCATAAAGAGCTGGGTCTTTCTTTGGGCATTATTCAAAGGGACTGGATGACCTTGTCTTCCCCAAGGCAAGGAGACTCTACCACCAACTCAGTCACCAGTGGGTCCCAGATCTGTGGATATGTGACAAGCTTATGCCCTTGGCCTCTCATCTCCCCACACCCCACCTGGACCCCACACTGAGCTATCAGGCTTCCCCACACCCCCCTTTACTCCCCATACCTGGATCATCACCCTCTCTGCTCTACCTGTTTCAACCTCACCTCTGGCCCCTGCAAGAGGGCTGCCTGCCTTCTCTCTCTTCTTGAGCATTTCTAGAATTTTTCCTGTGGCCCCCATTTTCATGCCTAGGTGAGTATCTTGATATTGGAGCCACCAGTTTTGGTTGGAATTGTGTCTATTCCCCAGGATTGGGGTCAAGTCAGAGACCCTGCTTCTGTAATTATCTGTGTTCAGGGCTGAATGATCTAGCAGTCCCACTAGAGGCAAGCTGGTTGGCTTGGCCCACAAAGCTTCCCAGAGCTGGCTGGAAGCACTTGAGGCGTAGAATTGAACTTGGTCTGACTCCTCATCATAAAATGAAAATTCTCACCTTGCGCCCTTGGGTGGCCTAAGGGCACCACCCATTTCAGGTTGACAAAACAATTTGAAATGACTTGAGTCCTCAGGAAACCTAGTTCTCAGAGCCACTGCCAAGGAGGCATCATTTCAGGAGGGGGGGCCACCTGGAGACAGGAGAGCTGGGTCTCCAGCTGCATCCCCCAAGAAGAGGCACCTGAAGAGGCATCCCATGGGCAGGCAGCTCTGGGAAGCCATGCAGCCAAGTAAAGTGTCCTGCCTCAAGTGGGACTTCTAGATCATTCCATATGTAGATGTGCTTGTGGACTTTTGGAAGCCCCAGTGGTACTGCTGCTTCTTATGCTGATGTCACCTATAGTCTCTTCTGGGGAAATCATCTCCTGGGAGTTGGGTTTCATGACTTACTCTTGGGGAGCTCCCTATGTGTGGATGGAAGCATCTACAACCCCACATCATGTGCAAGTCTGGGGGACTGAGGGCTTGGGTGTGCCTGATCCCTATACCTGCCTCCCTGGAGCCCCACTGGCCATCCTGTCCTCTCACTGATGCTGGTCTCTGGCTGTGTCCACTCCCAGCCCAGCCTGGTCTGCCTGACTCCCAAGCTCCAGTCCCTCCCCACAAAGCTCTTTATCCTCAGTGCTCCTCCTGGTCCCTTTGGTCCCCACCCTGGCCTCAGAGCTCTAATTTATTCACAGTTCCACATCTCCACCCTGCTGCTCTCAGTCACTGATTCCATCCACATTCAGTCTTGCATTATTTAAATCTCGAAAATGTTCTGGGCTTGACACAAAGAGCGAGAGACTCATTAATATGAACCTTCTATACATTTTTTCCTAACTCTTAGTAACTTCAGAGAGCTTTGAAACCATTATCCCAAATGGTGCTTTCTTCATTTAGAAGAGCAGAGGCCTGCAGGAGGCCCAGTAGACTGGGGTGGGAAGTTCTTGGCCGTGATGTTGCAGCTGATTCCCTGCCAAGCAGGTGCGACGTGGTTCTGAGGACATGGCGTGGGTGGGGCGGTCTGCGGGGTGACCCTCACTTTGCTCTTACTCCCTGTGTTCTGCTGGTGACTGCTTTTCTCTCCCCAGCAGTGATGTCCTCCTCTGTGAAGTGAGGGCACTGGACCAGGGGCCCCTGGGGTCCCCCCCAGCACACAGGGGCGACGCTATGCTATGCCTCCCTGCCTCTCCATGGCACCAAAGCAGAGAAGAGCAACAGGCAGGTAAGCAAATAGCCCTTGTCAACCTGGATATCTTTCAAACACACTTAAAAAGTCACAGAGAGCAGACCTATCACAAAATGAGTTCATCATTTGAAATCATTTTTGCAGCAATAGGAAGCCTTCTATTGCCCAACCAGAGACTGTCTAAATCCCTTGTATTTATACAGCAGCTTTATTTTCAAAGTGCCTGAAATATATTTTCACATTTGGCCTTCACAACCTCTTTCCAGAAGCGACTGTGGGAAGTGAGGATTCTGGTTTGCAGGCAGAGAGGAGAAAGCAGAGAACTTAAACCCCTCCCATGTGGGACCCAGCCACAGAATGCTGGAAATTTCTCCGCCTGGAGGGCCCCAAGACCTTGGGCTTCTCATTCAAATGGCACCCACACCCCTCTTTCCCAAGTCTGTCCTCCTCCTGGTCACACCCACCCCATCATCCAGGCCAGAAATGCCAACTTTGTGCAACTTGGTCATGACCCACATCAATACACTCTCCCAAGGATTCTCAAGTCCCAGGTCCCCTCCTAAAGGGGTGGCCTCTGTCCTCTCTCACGGGCACTGGACTTCTGCTGTAGCTCCCTGGCGAGTCTCCTCGCCCCTGCCTCCCTCCCTCAACCCATTCTCCCAAATTTTGAAAGAGGCTGCAGTCCCAGCTCTTCCCCCACCCTCACATGTTGCTAAAACCATTTGGTGGCCCTCATGGTCGATTGGATAGAGCCTGTGATGACCACACTGTGGGCTTTAGTAACAATGGGCCGGGGCATTTCTTCACAGGGGCGTGCGTTTCCGCCTCTGTGCTGGGCTGTGTGCTGCTTCCCCTCCTGGGCAATGCAGGCCCGTTGTTTGTGTGGTTCATCCTGGCCCTTGTCTTTCCAGACTCAACTCACAAGATGTAATGATAGTGCTGCTCACCATAGGACGGGCTTCCTTCCTTCCTTCCGTTGAGATGACATTGGCTTACATTCTTTTTTTGGTATTTTGGAAGTGTAGGATCTCCTTCCTCAGGTATCGCCAATGTAGGGCACCCAACACCAAGTGTCCCGAGTCCACCACCACAGTCTATTGTGCTCCCTTCTCTCTTAGATCTTACCCCACCCCACACACACACAACCCTTCCCTAAGTGCCACTCTCTTTTGTGCTTATAACATCCTGTTTCCATTCCATCCAAATGGGATTTTCCATGCTATAGGCAGAAATGATGTCTCTGTATCTCTCTACTATAAGACTTTGATTTCTTGAGAGTAGGAAAACCAGTTTATTCATATTTAAAGCTTCAGTGCTGCTGCTACTACAAAGCTGATGAAAGGCTGTGTGTGGTGGGAGTTTTTGAGAAAACACAATCTTTGGTTTTATACTCAGAATATGGAGGGCAGCAAAATGCCCAAGAAGGTAGGATGCCCTAATAAAGATGAAGTGCCCCTTCTTTGTACTGATCTCAGAGGCCTTTTCCTAATTGTTTTGCTCAGTCAAGGTCAAACAAATCTCCACCATTTCTTTGGTTCTGATACGAGGTTATGGACTCCACTTCCCGAAGGGTGCAGTTTACTCAGCCTAGAGAAAACCCACAAATTCCAAAATTACAAATGTCCCTGTGATATGGGGCAGCCATCTTGGAAATCTGTGTCCTTGACCCCGAGGAAGAGCTGCGAAAGGTCACAGAGAGATGCAACCCATCCTTCCTACTGGGTGGGGACCTGCATAAACTGTCATGGTCTGCCTTCCAGCCCTGGTGGTGGAGAAAGAGGGACAGAGAGTAAGTGCCATTTCAGAAAAGGGTGTGTGTGTGAGGCACTTGTTTTCCTGATTGCTTGGGGAGTGTGAATCAGAGTTGGGACAGAGTCCAAGAGCAGAAGTCTACCAGGAGTGACAATTGGCTTTCCCTCCCAGGAGGACACTTTATCCCTGTATATCCATGGGCCTAACAAAGCAATCACCGTCCCCCACTGTTTCAATCTTTTACTCAATCACTTAATTATTTCCCAGGTACGGGTGGCATGGCCATCGCTCCAGTATTAACCCAGATGATAATTACCCATCCTATTCCTCACCACCGCACTTCCCGTTTAGAGCTCTTAACTGGACCAAATTTCACCTGTCCTCGTGCTGTGGGCATAAAAAGGACCGTGGGCCTCTAATCAGTGCCTGGGGTCTGGGAGCAGTCAGCCAGAAACTGCAATATCTGCTCGTTTATTCCTGTTCATCCAATTGGCTCCAAATTGCTCTGAATGAATTCTTCGGGTGCAGAAGAAGCTGTGCAGGCTTATTTTCATTAGCGTGGACACTGAGCAGGAAGAGAGGGTGCGGGAAGAGGAAAAGAGAAGAATTTGTTGCCAGATTTTTCTCTCTTCTCCACTCCCCACCTGGTCCCTCAGCTCCTGTATACACAATCCCCCCGCTCCATGCAGAAAACAGGCCACCCCTGGGCACCAGTAGCTTCTTCTGCGACCCTGGATCTTATTGGAACAGACCACTCACCCCCGTTACAGTCCTGACTTAGAGGCTCTGATGGAGGGAGCACTAAACCTTGCTCCCCTCAGCAAGGGAGGATGAGATGCTCCATCTGACATCATCTGTCTCACCCCGGGAGGCACTGGGGAGCTGGGCTGGGGGCCACGGTCTGCATGCGGTCAGCTGAGCAGGGCTGCAGTCAACGGTGCGATGACCCTACAGCATGTGCCGGTTCTGTTCTTACCAGCAACACTCTGTCCCTGGGACCGACTCATCTGCTCACCCTCTGGCTGAGGGATGGCATCTGGGGTCCAAGCAACTGGTTTCCTGCCTGGGGCTGCTCTTGACTTCCTGCAGCGCTGTGTTTGTAGTGGAGGTTTCCAGCGCTGACACCCGGATCTTCCTGATGGAACAGAGGCTATTTCTAGTGGGGTTATCTTGGTCATCTCTGTCAGTCATGCTTCTTAAACTTGAAGTCAGTTAGGAATGTCCTACCCTTCCTGTTCACTGTTTTCCTTCTCCCCAAACCCCAAGCCTTCTGTTCTCCAGGGCAAATGCTCCAATCCCAAGGGTCATAGAATCATGGAACTCTCCTCAGCTTGACTTCATTGTCCTTTACGTATGCATATGAGCGACTTCCTTCCATCCTGTCCAGTTGCCCTGCAAGACTTTCAAAATGTGGGTGTCTGGCTTCTGTTTCCAATAACAGCATGTCCCCAGGCAGTGCTGGGGGCAGAGTTAAATAATTTAAAGAGGGGTTCCTGTTCTCTCGAGCTTTCCTTCTGGAATCATAGAGTGGACAAACATTGACCATACTTCATTAATCTCCCTGCTTACAATCAGGGCGGAGCGGGTAAGATTTGGTGGAAGTATAGGTTTTCAGAAGCCTGTTTCCCTCATCTTAGCTTCATGAAGGAGGGCTTCCTGGAGGAGGTGGAACTGGGGTGGAAGGAACACGAGCTTTCTGCCCAGGAAGCTTGGGTTCCAGGTAAAATTCTCTCCAGTCTAGATGGGCAGCCATGCACAATCACTCTACCTCTCTAGGTCTCAGTGTGTCTGTGATGTGAGGAGATAGAGCAAATGAAATCTAAAGGCCTCTCTAGTTCTGACATTTATGAGTCAAGAGCCTCCCAGAGGAATTCCCAGGAGAAGGGCATGGACTGGGTGGTGAACGCTGTGGGGTGAGCGGCACTCACTACGCTGCTGAAGGATCATGAGCCAAGTGGGGCTCAGTGAAACAATTGAGACAACGTGGTGATGAGACCCAGAGGTGGGGCAGGCGATGTGTGTGTGTGTGCAGGGCAGTCAGGCCCACGTGTTCCCAAAAAGATGTTGATCGGATGAGTTCTTGTGTCTGAGCGATTGAGGAGTGATCGCTGGCACCCCAGACTGCAGGCTAGCAAGCTCAGGTTTATTGCAAAAGAGGCTCCTGACAGCAGGAGTGGGTCCAAGGGAGGAGTCTGGGGCTAGGGTGCTGGGTGCTTTTTATAGGGTTTCTGGGGACTGTCCACCCCTCTCAAAAGCTCCTAGTTTTTCCCCCTTCTTTGGGGTACTTTTTGCTGCCCCCAGCCCCTCCACTGCCCCAGTTTGTCTCCTCATCCCCTTCTTCTTACCCAGAGGTGTGAGGCGACCACAAGTGCTGTTCTTTCCCCACACCTCCCTTGTGATCGCCAGCTCATGCTCTGTGGCTGTCAGCCTTTGCCCACAAGCCCCCCGCTCCTTCAAGTCCCCACTGAGAGGGCACAGCCTGAGCTGCAGTGAGGAGAGGTGACGAAATCTTTCTCCTTCCCGCTAGAGTGGGCAAAGTGGGGGCCCACTGTTCGGGTCGACTTGGGGCCCTTGATAGATGGAGGATGTTGGAAAGTGGGGTGCAGGGTCCAAACAGGAAGAGGAAAAAAAAGTGGGGTGCTAGTAGTGATAGCAGCTAAACTCTCAACCCTGGGAGGATGTTGCTCAGGTCTGGACGCCAGGAGGTGCGCAGGTGGTCAGCTTATTCCCAAAACCACCAAGTCAGTTGAGGAAACTGCTCCTTTCGCCACACAACCTGGGAAGAGGTGTTGGTATAGAGGCAGCAAGGGGTGTCAAGGGCTGCACACACCCACCCTGGTGGGCCAGCAAATAGTCTAAGGCCAAATGATTATCCAAGACCATGTGAGACAGAGTCCAGGGGTCGACAGGGATTGCAAAAGTTTTCCCCAGAGTCCAGAGCTACCTCAGAGACTGTGTGCGTGACATGAGCCAGCTCTCCGGTATTCTACACAACCCCAATAGTGAGCCAGTGATAACGCCACTAATGCAGAAACTCCCAAGACAATCACAGGGATGGGTTCTCTTTTGGCCCAGTGGATTTCTGCCTGGGTCCCGAGTGCAGGATGGTGATGGCTGTGTCCCAGAGCGTGGCTGAGGAAGAGCCGGGTCCGGTTGCAAGGGGGACACCTGAGCTATTGTCCAGTTACAAAGTCAGATCAGCCACCTCCAAAAGGGAAGTGTGCAACCCCAGTCTGGCTGAGGTAGAAGCCCCCAAAACCTCTAGGCAGTGGTGCTCTGGAGGC